AAAAAAAAAAAAAAAACACACCTCACATTTAGTTGTTATTTGACCGACTCTCAGGGTCTCATGATGCCTTAGTTAAAAGTGAATACCATGCTTCTGACATCTTTATTCATAAGATGCTATTTAATGCAAGAATGGGACACAGAATGTGGCCCAGATTAAAACAGAAGAATATTTTATTACAATCTCTTGCTTTCCTGTATACATGAAATATCTCATGTTAAAAAAATAATATCATCAAGGTTTAAGTTAAAATCTGGCAAACCTAAAAACCCATAGTTGAAGGTGATCCTCCTACTTTTAAAGAGTTTTAGTACAAAACGTTATATGGAAGAAAAAAAAATGGCAGGAAGAAGCATAAAGGTCCCAATTAATATGCAGAGGCAACAGGATAGTTTAAGAAAAATGTTTCAGTCCTTACTCTGAATTACCACAACTTTGTTAAAGTAAAACAAAAAGTATTTTAACTGTTTTTTCTCCCCAACAATAATTTAAAACAAGCCATTTATTATTATGAGAGCTGAGAGAGCATTAACAGAATATATGTGTATGTATATGTTATATATATTTACAGAATATTAGTAAACATGTTATTGTAACCAGCAGATCATCCAAGATAGTTAGACCAGTCGCATCAGTCTGTGTTTACTGACTTCTGAAACTGTTCATTAAACAGAGTTCAGAGTCTGCAATGTCAATGTGCCCTTGTATAAGGAAACACTATGCTGTGTAATGTACTGTAGATGCACTTACTCTAGGGATGAATGCTGCTTGTCGGGTTGCTGTGGAAACAAAAGTTGTTGCACATATACAATAGCTGCTTTTCTAAGTTAAACAAGGCACAAGTCCAGTAGTGAAGGTACTATGCCAACTGTGTATTAAAGTCTGCAAAAACTGACTTTTTCAAATAAAATTTTAAAGAAATACAAAAGATGGCATATATGACCCCACTTTTTAATTTTTTTTATCATACTTCAATTTCTCTCTGCTTAGGAGGTGCTTAAGATATATTTCGGGAGCCTGTTGTACCTTGCAAGGATAAAACCAGGATCTAGAATAGGGTTTTGGGGAAAAACAAATAATGAAAAACCCCCCACAAACCTGAAGGTTCCAAATCATTATGGATCATATACATCACCCAATATTCATTCTTACATGCTTTCCAATGAATATATGATAACTCTTGGTGGTATGACTAGGCCCAGAATATTATCTATATACAGGCATCTCACAGCCTGTGGCCTCTCCAGGCTGTTTTTTCTCCTGAAGGAATGCTTGAACAATGCAGCCAACTGCATCACGGTTGCTTTCTTGGCCTCCACCCAGGGAAGGCTAAAGTCCTGCCAGGTGATTGGAGATGATCTTTTTGAGTCAACAAATCTTCCTCTGCTCCCTCCCCCCCCACAAGTTGATCTTTTGTACAGCCTATGGAAACTCCCTTTTTCAATTCAGCAGTTAGACTCTTAATCATCTGATAGCATTGCAAATGACACTGTAAATGAACTCTTGCTTCAAGGCTGGCTTACCACAACTCCCTCACGGCCACTTCCTCATCTACAGCCTATTCAGGATCACAGAGAATGTTGAACCATAATTGTTCAGGGGCTCAAGCTACCATGTTCATATTATACTTGCCCATTTGTTCTTTGTAGTGGCTGTCTATAAAGGAAATAAAAGTCAGCACTATCAGTGTTAAAGTCAAAAAAGTTAATGGTTTGGAGTCCAATTAATACAGGAGTCCATTCCTATATAAAAAATGCAACAAAAACAAAAACAAAAACACACACACCCTAAAGACTCAGTTGCAAAACTCAGTTTAGACAGAACAATGCCAACTTGGTATTACGTTACCATCTCACCAACATCCTGTCACACTTTCAGCTTCTTTCATTCCTGGGAGTCTGAGAACAGCAGAGACTTCCTAGGCCTGAAGAAGGGTGACTACACCTGGAAGCTTGCAAAAAAACCTTTTTTTTTTCCCCCCACTTATTCAGTTGGTCTAATAAGAGAAATCACATCTACCCAAAGAATCTTGCCTAACCTGGTATTAATCATTTTCCAAAAACAGATTAAAATAGCTTCAAGCCTTAAAAGAGATATTTTACTAGTGATTATCATCCTCTAGGTATGGCAAGATAAGAGAGGTGTGGAGAGATAAGCTCAGGCTTGTCCCTACCTGGCCAATCCTCCATCACTGCCTCCACTGCCCAGCTCCAATGCAAGGAGCCAAGCACTGCAATATGTAAATTAGTTTTTGAAATTGCACACCATTCAACTCACACAAGTTAGGGAGAGGAGCTATGCATCCAAAAATTGAGAACCACTGGTTTATACTTTCAGAGCCATTTCCTCTTCTAAGATTTGTTGCTCATTTTTCTCGCTACCCTCAGAAAGAGTAATCCACCCCATTACATAGGAACAGTGAAAAGTACAGCTGCTGCGAAACAGCATAGCTCCACGAAAGCTTGTGAAGATTCACTTTGTTTTTGGTCAAAAATCCTGGCAAAAGAATAAAGAAAAATAGTCAAAAAAGTTCTTATCTGTGCTGGACAGAGGATTTACTTTAGCACTGATTAACAAGATGATGTTCTGACTGGTTCACTGGACACTACCAAAGTAAATGACATGTTGACAGAAATTGAGGCCTTACATTGTGATTTACATTGCCATCTAATCTTCAAGAGAATTTAGATATTGCGCTGTATGATCAAGACTGAATGTGTGTTTAAAAAATGACTTGGGGGCCAATTTAAAAAAAAATGACCATGCAGTGACTACGGTTCTGTAAAAAGGACCTTCCTAAAGCCTTATCCATCAAAATCTCCTTCACAAACACAAATTCCCCAAAAATAAGTTCTTAACTATTTTCCAAAATATTCTTCCCAGACAGTCATATTTTGGCCAAACAAAAAGGTTTTAGGTTAGGTGACAATAAACAATCTTTTAAACATTACAGACTTGTGTTTGACTTCTTGCATCGCATGTATTCATCTATCCCTCTCACAGGTTTCACTTTTCTAAGAGGACATACAATTTGACTGCTAAGTAAGAGTAAGATGCGGATGTGAAAAGTCAAAGAGCAGTTTTAAAAGCAACTACTGTCTGAAGTCTAAACCACTTCCAGAAACCTCTCTTGTGCTAGAAAGTAGCATAGTTTCTTCACTGAAAGAAACGAGCAACAATAGTTTCTGCCCAACTTAGCAGCAAAATAAAACTGTTATAATTGGTTCCAAAATTCTCAGTCATGTAATGGACCATGTTCTTGAGAGGCATGCACACGCCATGATTCTTGAGTTTAATAGAAATCCTGGGGTTTCAAAACAATGGGGACTTTTGCCTTCTTTGCAGGAGGGGGCAGGGGGACAGGATTACAGAAACACTGTGCATCTTTCCTGTATCAGGTTTTTTTCCACCACAAAAGTTCCTTTTCTTCTTTACCCTGGCTCCTACTGCAATTTACCCAAGAATCACAGCAACTGGGAAAGGGTGTTTTGGTGCCAGTGTCTAGCATTAGTATTTCAGAGCAATGGCATGTTTCACTGTTTTTTTCCTTTATCTTTGGATTGGCACAGTATTTTTCAGGAGTATATTTGGGATTTTGGCAGGATACAGCAATTCTGGGGTTGGATCATAGTTTCTTCATTTTGTAACAGGTAGTTGCTTTTACTTGGAGAAGGCTGAGGAATGAAAAGACAGAACAGAAAGCCAGGTGGGTGAGTGGGGGTTATCTCTTCCTTTTAAGCACATCTGAGGATCTAGCAAGACACGATCAGCTCTGTGAATGTTCCTAGGGGTTATGTGAAATGTAACATAACAAACATGGATAGCAGGTTTGGAGCTACTGATCAGTCATATTCTCCATGTTACTGGTTTTCAGCCTGTGGCCTGCAGCCCTCTGGGGGTCTGCAAACTATGTCTAAAGAGTCTGCAAAAGATGACTATGATCAATTCAAATGATTGATCATAATCAATCACTTATTCAAATGGGTTAGCACCTCCATTCAATATTTAAGGGTCCACAAATGAAAATAAGATTGAACACCACTGCTCTATGTGAATGTTTTCTCTTATAATGAATGTTATGAATTTTATCACTAGAGACATTGT